GGGTGTTGTAGGTGGGATGGTTGCTAATGCCGTGGGAAGTGTAAGGTGGGGGATGGTGGGTGGGGCCAGTGGTTTTAATGATCAAGGTTGGTTAAAAGTGGGTGAGTTTTTAGTTATTTTTACTGTGTTAGTTATAGGCTTAGGTTTTGGGTTTTTTTCGTGTGTGGGTGCCCTCAAGTGCTGGTGTGTGTCAATGTTGTGACTTACGATGTGTATGTGTTTGTGTATGTCTGTGTGTGTGTGATGATATGTGTGAAACACATATTGCGGACGCTTCAATACATGAATAGTATGTACTCACTATCGTTGTCACAACACAGGACATTCTCCAATAGGGTCCCCCGTTCATCATTCGCAACTTTCCTAGTGTTCTCACAATAAAGTAACTCGGGCCAAAAAATGATGAATGTATTTCATTGAAGAATCTATGTCAACCATGTGCTTGGACTCACGTTAAAGTATTAAACTAATCACAGCTTCTCAACTTCATATAGAGCAACAAACACAAAATCATGCTCTTTGTACATGGGTAATCGGAAAAATCAACAAGATTCAGATACAATGTATTGTAATGAGCCCAGTCTGGCAGATACTCATCAGTCGTCAAGCACTAGTAGTCTCGGTATCTGCAGCAAAGTCTCCAATTATATCTGAAACAGTATCTCATTACCATTAGACGAAGAGAGTGGAGGGGGAATAGACAGAGGAGAAGGTGGAAGAGATGATATCATACAAGAGTAATCCCATCAAATCCCACTTCTACTCTGGGCTTCTTCCCTCTCCACGTCATCAACCAGTATATGATAACAAGTATGATAATCCTGATCACACAGTAGTGCCACGTGGCACTCTTATCTCGTGAAGACCATGAAGACACAGCAGAATAACGTGACGACGTCAACCTCAGGCGAGTACCCGGTCCTAATCATCCACAGATCACGATCTCCCTCCTCCTCGCAAACAGTCACCTCATGTAGACAGCGTGGACAATGCCACGTCAGCAGTCGAGACAGGTGGCATGCGCCACATCATCAATGTAGACCAGTGGCATGCGCCGCATCAGCAATGTGGACCTGTGGCTTGCGCCACATCAGCATGCAATGTAGACCATAAGCAGCGCCTGTAGCGGACCTCTGGTTGGCCTGTGAGACCAGCACCTTGGCCTGTTCTCACAGACCTGTGTTGTATTCGGGGCAGTCCAGTCCAGGCTGGTACCTCTGTCGGTACCAGCCAGTCCAGTCCAGTCCCGTCAGTCCGCTGGGGTATACCCCAGCTGTTGTCTGTTTTCCGATTCATTCTACATTCGCACAGTTTGGAGTACGTGCGTTGGAGTTTGGCGTGGGAGCTGCGCTGTGCCATCTCGCTCCCCCTTTCTTCCTCCATCTCCATCTCTATCCCAGGCGGAGCACCACACCTGGTGGGTCCGCCACACTGGTATCGGAGCGGGAACGTTCCCCACTCCCACCTACCACCCCGCACAGCAGGGAAAAGCAGCAAAACCCGACAATCGGGTTTTTGGCAGTTTTTCGGGCGTTTTCGGCGAAAAGGGGGGAAGGAAAAAAAAAAAAGGGTGCAGCAGGAGAGTGACACGTGGCGGGAAAAGAAGTTGTCACTACAGCCAAGGCCGTGGCACGTGCCACGCTGCCCCGCCCCGCTCCCGGATTAGATCCGGGATCTTGGTGCAGCCAGGGTTTGAACCCAGGCAATTGTTGGGCTTGCACGTGTGTAAGCTACTCCTTTAACACACTTGCCATACTGTATGTATGGTTTTGTAGTGTGGCACGCTGCTGTTGAAGAGGTGCATGCCAGCTATTTACCCCTCTCCTCCCCCCCAGGCGGTGAGCAGCAGCTAGCACGGCAGCAACGGCCGGGCTGCTATTTGCCCCCCATCACCCCACACCCCGCCCCCCCCCCCGTTGGCTGCTGCTGCCTGCGCACGTGGCCGCCTGCACTGCCACGTGGCAGCCTATTTTGAAGATTGAAGACCCCCCTGGCTAGGGGGATGCGCCGCAATTTTTTTTCTTACTATTTTGCTACTGCTGCAGCAGCAGTTTTGCAGCAGCTCAAGATTCCCCCTGGCTAGGGGGCTGTGTGATTGTGGCAGTAGGGTGGCTGACCAAGATCTCAGCCAACCCTAGATCATCATCATCATCTTCTATTGCTGCGGCATCGGGCCAGCAGCACCTTGAAGGCCAAGATCCTGTGGATCTTGGTAGTGCTTTGCTCTTGGCCAACCAAGAGCCTGGTATTATCTCTCTCCACTAACCTACTCTCCCCCAACCCCTTTTCTCTCCCCCACCATCATCTAATCATCCTTTCTAACTCTACCACTACCCCCCCTCCTCCCATCTCCCTCTTCACTCATCTCCCACCACCTTGTTCTCTCCTCTCCTCCCCACTCACCATCTTCTACTAATCTCATCTCCCCCATCTCCCACTTCACTCCTCTTTCTCTCACCTATTTCTCTCTTCTTCATCACTTTTTCATCCCCTTGCCCCCCCTACTTCGAATTTTTCTGTTTTTTCTTCTTCTCCCTTTCTCTTTGATTTAAATCTTCTCCTTTCTCCAAAAAATTGAATTATTTTATTTCCCCACCCTCCCTTCTCATTCTCTGATTTATTTTATTTTATTTTTAATCTATTTTGAAAATTCGAATTTCTTTGCGGCACCTTTAAATCTGACTAGGAATTGGTTCTTCTTGCTTTCGGTACACATTTTGACCCCGTGGGGGTAACAAAGTGCTGCCGAAATTTTCTGTTTCTCTTTCACTTAGTCTTTTCGGCGCACTTAGACCTCATGGGGGTAATGAAATGCTGCCGAAATTTTTGAAAAAATCAGATTCTTCATTTCTCTCCACCTCCTCATCCACTTATTTGCTTATTTATTTATTTATTTATTATTTATTTTTTGATTTTTTTTATTTGTGGCATTTCGAAACCTAGTGTGCTTATCTTGGTCTCTCCGTTCCCTTGGCACATTCTTGATCCCATGGGGGGTAGGGAAATGCTGTCGAAAATTATAAAAAAATAAATATTATTTATCTCTTCGCATTTTGTTTTCTTATTTTTTTAATTATTTTTATTATTTATTTACTTTTTTATTTATTTTTATTTTTCTCTCGAAATTTCACCGTTAATTTATTTTTCTCCCGCCTTCCCCCCCCATGTTTGCTATTTTATTTTCTTGATTAGGTCACCGGTACCTACCCTAACCACTCAAACTTTGGTTAGGGTTTTCTTAGGGTTTTTAGGGTTTTCATAACCCCCTTACTTTCCCTTCTCATTCGGCCACCCTGAATTCGAACCACCCCTCCCCCTTTGACGACGCCCGCGCTCGATTTACTAGCGTCGCACGTCGCTTTCTATCGCAGACCTCCCCCTACGCCCTTCGCTCACGCGGACCTCCTCCGACCCTCCCTAGTCCGGCCCGTTACCTCCCCATGGCCGACGGCATGTCACAAGCCCCCGAGGCGGCAACGACATCGGCATCGGGCTCCACACCTGTATCGACGGACCAGGGTCACCATCCCAGGGGGATCTGCACACCCTTATCACCTCCCTCCTTGCGCCCTTACAGACGCAAATGGCGACTCTTGTCGCTGGCCTGCGGCAACTCCACGACGCTGGTCGTCCTTCCTCTCCCCACTCTCTCTCTTCCCCTGGCTCCCAGTCCGGGTCCCCCGTCCTCCGACATGGTGGCCACGACGGAGCTTCCTCCTCTGCCGCCCCCGACCCGGCCATCCTGGTGACCGTCCACGCTCCTAGCACGACGGCCGTCAAGGGCCAGACCCTCCCTCACTCTACGGGCGCACCCGCCCAGATTCCGGTCACTACGGCCACGGGACCATAACCCGCTACCATGGTCTCAGCTTTTCCGGGTGCCCCGCTTCTCCCTCCCCTTCGCACGACCTCAACGCCATCTGACTCTCCCCCCTCTAAGATGCCCCGCGCCGCTCGTGCGTCCACTTCCCCCACTCTTCCTCCTGCACTCCTCGCTCAATCTACGTTCAACGTCTTGAGGACGAGCTTGCCCAAACCCGGGCTGACCTCGCCCTCTTATGCCTTCAGCCACCCCCATACTCACAGGTGGCCGCGCTTTCGGGCGCACCCCCTTCTTCCTCTACTCTTCCATTCTTGTCGGTTCGCTTTCCTTGCCCTGCACCCCCTCCAACCCCATCCTACCCCCTTCCTACTCTTTCTGCGACCTCTTCTACCGCAGCTCCCTCGCAGCCTGCCGTTGTTCCCCCCGCCGCTCCACCATGCGGTCCGGGCGGACAGTCGGTTGCACCCGCTATTCCAGGACCTGCGCCGACTTACTCGGTCGTAGCGCAGGCCTATGCTCCCTGCTCTCCTCGCCGCCAAAACGGTGGCGCACCACTCGTCTGCTTGACAAACATTGCCTTGTATGACAGTACAGGCATACGCGTGTCTCGGTGGCTACAATTTGCCACCCGCATGCTCCAGCTCATGGGCGCCCCACCCGACACGTGGGTGGCTCACCTCTCCACGCACCTGCGTGGCGGTCCTTTGGACGCCTGGGAGGATTTCTACGCTTACTCCCTTCGTGCGGGTTGGACTCCGACCTTCATGGATTTCCAGGCGTTCCTCGAGGATTGCTTCAGAGCCCGACATGACGTGACTGACGCCTTTGAGCGTGTCGTCACTACATGCTGGTCCGGCTCTGGTGGCGTTGCCGGTCTGGATCGCTACATCCAAGTCTTTCAGGACGCCCTCCTCATTTGTGATGTGGCGTTTCTTCCCAAGGCTGCCTTTATCGATCGTTTCTTGGCCAACCTTACCCTTAAGTACCGCTCCGAGTTATGGCGGTACGAGTTCACATCGGCCCTGCAGACTTACGAGGGCGCTAGGGACCATCAACGGATGAGGGCCCGTCTTCAACACACTTCCTCCTCCCAGCCTCAGCGTATTGGTTACACCCCCTCCTCCTCTCACGACACTTCCCAGCACCGTCCCCGTTTCCACGGTCGTCCCCGCCGTTATGCGCAGCAGGGCCGCCACTTCTCGCGCCGCTTCAGCGTGCTCGAGTATGGTGAGCAGGACGTTGTTGCCCCGCTTTCGCCCGAGGGCGACCAAAGCGACGACCTCGACCTCGGCGAGCTCGTTCACTACCACTTGAAGGACTCTACTCTCCCTATGGCCGAGCGCCTCCAGCTCATCCTCTCCGCCCTCTCCCGGGCACGCAGCCGCCCCGGTCACGCTGGCGCGTCGCCCCCCGAGGTCCTCGGCAGGATCTCCCTCAGGGCTTTGTCCCTCCTCTCGGTGTCCTTTCCGTTGAGGAGCGTGCGCGCGGCTATTTTGGGCCGGTGTGGGTGTTTGCGATGCCGCCAGGACGGTCATACCTCCTCGCGGTGCCTTTACACCGCCGACCTCGACCGCCACTACGCTGACCTTTCCCGCCAACGTCGTGCTCAGTCCCCCCCCGACGCCTCCTAGCCACGGTGCAGTGTACATCTGCGCCCTCCTCAGTAGTCGGCTTTCTGACATCCCCGTCGCGGTTTGCCTCTCTTGCTACAGGAGTTAAGGTATCGCAGAACCCGACAGAGTGTACTCAACCCTCTATCGTAGTACCGTCTGCGCCTCCGCAGACCACCGTCTCCCCTCCTATCCCGCCGCGACTACCGACGCGTCGAGCCATTCACTCAGCCCGTTGCAGCGAGCAGCTCGCGACTCGTGAGGACATGTGTCCTCTCTTCTGGACTTGAGGATGCTTCAGGCTCGTCAGGAGCGACTCACCCTCCATGTCGCCGCACTGGGTCACCTTCTCACCATCCTCTCCGACCGTGATGGCACCCTCCCGATCATTCCAGTACGACTGGGGACCTCCACGAGGGTGTACTCAGCGCTGTGGGATCTCGGTTCTCAGGGCGACTTCGTTCACCCACGTGTGGTGAAAGAAGCCCGCTTACCCACGACAGGGTCTCCGACTCCCATCTCTGTCACCCTCGGGGATGACAAGACCCAACGCTTCTTCGATCAGACGGTCACCGACCTCCCTTTCTTCCTCACGTTCGAGCCGACTGATCGTCCCCCGGCGTCTCGTCGCCACCGCTCCTCCGCACATTTCGATGTGATGGAGACGGGGTACGATTTCATTCTCGGTACTTTGTGGTCTCGTCGGTTCCGCAGCACCGAGGCCGATTGGGCGACCAACACCCTCGTCCTCAAAACGAAGTTTGGACAGACGTATCGCGTGCCTTTCATAGGTACCACTGTGACACCACGCCCCGATCCTCCTCCCCCGAAGCCTTCCGTGCCCACACCTTCTCCTTCTATCACTGTCACCTCGCCTCGGCAGTTCGCCCACTTCATCCGACAGGACGACGCCACTTTTTTTATGGTGAACGTGACGGATCTCTTACACTATGATCCACCCTGTCCCGACGCCGAGCTCATCCTTCTGGAACCAGATCCTCCTTCTATCTCCATGGCTCCATCTCTACTTCCCACCCTCTGTCGTCCGTCGAGTCCACCCCATCGTCGCGCGCCGAGGATGACTCTGAGGACCTGGAGACCGCAGTTCGTGACCTCATTCGAGAGCACCACGACGTTTTCCCATCGTCATTCTCGTACGCTGGCATCCCACCGACGCGTGACGTCGAGTACTGCATCCAGCTTGTGCCTGGCTATCGTGTTCACCACCAGCCACCCTATCGACTCTCGCTCCCCGATGCCATCGAACTCAAGCGTCAGCTTTAGGAGCTCCTCTTTGCTCGCAAAGCGGATGGAACTCTCCGTCGGTACATGGACTATCGCGGCCTCAACCGCTACACGGTTAAGAATCACTACCCCATGCCTCGTTCCGACGAGCTGTTCAACCGCCTAGCAGGCAACCGCTTCTTTACGAAGATTGATCTTCGTAGCGGTTACCATCAGATCCGCGTCGCTGCAGCGGACCAGCCGAAGACAGCGTTCCGATCGCGCTTCGACCACTACGAGTTTACGGTGATGCCATTCGGCCTCGCCAACGCACCCGCTACCTTCCAGAGGGCGATGAACGATATCTTCAGGGACATCTTGGAGCAGTACGTTCCCATCTACCTCGACTATATCCTAGTCTATAGTCGTACCCTTGAGAAGCATCTCAGACACCTCCGCGACGTCCTTGACCGCTTGCGCAGACATGGCTTCTACACCAAGCTGAGCAAGTGCCGCTTTGCCCAGCATAAAGTGAATTTCTTAGGACACTACGTGTCTGACCAGGGGCTCCACATGGACGACGCGAAGATCACTGCTATTGCGGAGTGGCCCGTCCTCACATCTGCCAAGCAGCTTCACAGCTTCCTAGGCCTTACCAGCTACTATAGTAATTTCATCCAGGGATACACTAGGTATTCCTACGTCCTTACCTCCACCCTCCTCTGGAAGAACACGCCTTGGGCTTAGACACTCCTCCACGAGGACGCCTTCCGCGCCCTCAAAAAAGCGGTGACATGCGCACTGGTTCTTCACCTGCCCGATTTTGATCGCCCTTTTATCCTTACTACCGATGCGTCAGACTTTGCTGTAGGAGCAGTGCTTTATCAGATTTTCCCCTCCTCTCCAGATTCCTCTCATCCTCGTATCCCTCGCTTCCCACCCCCTACCCCTACCACTGCCTCTCGTTTGACGCCTACTCGTCCAGCTACTGACGAGCCTTCTATTGACTATTCTCCTACCATCGTCGAGGACGGCACTGTCGAGTCTCGCTCAGGTGATTGTCCGATAGCTTACTACTCTCGTCAGCTTCTGCCCGCCGAGATAAACTACACAGCTGATGAACGCGAGGTTCTCGCAGTTGTTTATGCCGCTCGGCACTAACGTCACTACCTGCACGAGGCACCATTCACGATGCGCACGGACAACTCTGTTGTCCAGACTTTTCTGACAAAACCGAAGCTCTCTCCTCAGCAGGCTCGCTGGTGGCGCGACATATCCGAGTTTAGTTTCACCACTGAGCACATCAAGGGTGAGACTAATCGGGTCGCAGATATCTTATCCCGACGAACTGACAATGATCAGGAGCAGATTCAACTCGCTTCCATCTCGGTCACCACCGTCCACCACTCGGTGATCGACGAGTTTCGCAATCAGTACCGCCACTGCCCCGACTATCACGACATCCATGCGACCCTTCGGAGTGGCAAGACCGTCCAGAACTACTCTTGGGGACAACGGTCTTGTGTAATGGCACGGTTCATAAGGCACCAAAGAGCCCTGTATTTGCGTTCCCTTCACTGGACAGCTACGTGTCCGGGCAGTATCAGAGTTCCATAACCAGGCAGCCGCCGGTCATATGGGCTTCCACAAGACGTTGGCTCATGTGAGCCGCCTGTACATCTGGTCGAAGCGCAAGGACTTTGTGAAGGACTACGTCGCAGAGCGTCCCACCTGTAAGGAGGTGAACAGTGCGAACCGCTTGCCTTATAGTTTGCTCCAGACTCTTCCTATCCCTGAGGGTCGTTGGCAGTCCATCTCGATGGACTTTATCGGTCCCCTTCGTCCTCCGACCCCCTGCGGTCATGATGTTATCTTGGTCGTCGTCGACCGCTTCACGAAGCGTGCACGCTTTGTTCCGTGCCGCTATGCCATCAGTGCACGTGAGGTCGCTGACATCGTGTTTGACCGAGTCGTGTGTGACCACGACTTACCTCTAAGCATCATATCTGGCCGTGACCCACGCTTTACCAGCTGATTCTGGCGACGACTCCACGAGGTATACGGCACCAAGCTCCGCTTCTCCTCTTCTTACCATCCCCAGAGTGATGGTCAGACCGAGGTCACGAACAGGACTCTCGGAGATATTCTCCGAAAGATTGTTTGTGACGACCAGCAGTGGGATCTCCATTTTGCCCACGCGGAGATAGCCTACAACCACGCCGTCTCGCCAACCACGGGGATGTTGCCTTACTATTGCGACCTCGGCTATCACCCTCATGTTTCCGCGGACCTCCTTCGACCGTCACAGATGCACCCCGACACAAGTCATCCCGCGCTGGATGATTGGGTTGCACACATGACGTCGATCATGAAGACCGCACATGAGCACACAGTCGCGTCCCAGACTCGCATGGCAGCACGTGCGAACTGATCGAGGATGTATCATCCATTCAAAGTCGGTGATGATGTGCTTATCGAGGCCCACCACTTACAGCTCAAAGCGGACACGCTTCGCAAGTTTCGGCGTCGCTTCTTTGGTCCATGCCGCATTCTCCAGGCCGTCGGTTCTGATACGGCTTCCAACCCGGTCAGCTTCCGTGTGAAGCTGCCCAACTACCTACGTCAGGATCGTGTGCACGATGTCTACCACGTCTCGTTACTGCGTCCCTACCGCAGACCGTCTGAGCGTTTCGCTGGACGACCATACGAGCGCCCTCCACCCATCACGGTGGACGGCCACGAGGAGTTTGTCGTTTCAGACATCATTGGTTGCCGAGTCACCGATAACAACCCTCCTCATGTCAAGTATCTCGTACGTTGGAAGGGTTACCTTGATGAGGAGGCTACCTGGGAGCCCCTCGAGCACTTGCAACACGCTCGCATGTTGGTGTGTGCCTATGACCGTGCTCGTCGTGTTAGGTCGACTGCTCTCCCTTAGCCCACTGACCCTCCTCCTTCTCCCTCGGCTGAGGAGACCGCTGAAGTCGAGCCTGCCCCATGTGAGGCAGACCTTCAGCAGCAGCCAGATGCTTCTGAGCGTCCACAGCGCACTCATCGTCGTCCTGCTCGATACGACTTCTCAATACTCCATCCACTCCAATTTTGTCACTTCAACTCGTTGACGTTACGGCTCTTCCTCGACGACATTCCGAACTTCTCATCATGGACGTCATCGGCAACTTCATGGACTTCGTCACGATCAGCTCTGCCTACTTCAGACGTCGTCGCTCTCTTACCACCTTACCCTGTACAGGACCTTGATTGTGTCGCATGATGGTCTCCCCTCGCCGGGTTCCTGTGAGTTGGGCTCTCCCTTGGTATACGTATAGGCATCGGGACTGTAGCGTTGCCTTGGCTTCCCAACTTACGGATCCAGCTTCGACTTCCCCACCCTTGGAGTCATTTGCATGATTCCTTTACCCATCATTTTTTCTACCCTTCGTCGGCCCTCACGTCCTAGTTAGGCAGCCTCGCATGCTTCATCTAGGTGCGCCCAGTATACCAGGCTCCCTTGTTCCCTTGCATGGTCGACCCTCCATAGTGGTCACCCCTTTAGTCGAGCATTACCCGCCCTGATGGTCTATCTGTTAGGGTCATTGGTTTTGTTCGCTCCCAGTTCCCTACCCTCATTAAGCCTGATGACATGTGTTCCCCCTGTCACTATGTGTGGATGCCCTTAGGAGTTATCGACCCCTAGGCTGCATTCGCCACCCTAAGAGACCATCCCACCCTTTGGTTTACGACACACTCCTCCTGTGACATATGGTTGACTTGTTGTTGCTTTGTTGTTCTCAGACTGAGGCTACTGCTACATTTCTAGGATTTAGTTGTTCTGCTTTTGCTGTTCTTAGGACTTATACACTAGTCATTTGTTTCCAGACTTAGGCTACTGCCTCCAACATTCTAGGACCTAATTGTCATTACTTCCTGCTTTCCTAGGACATGTATGCTAGTTACTTGCTTTTGCTTTCACTTAGGCTGTTAGTTGTGACATTGCTGTTTTTGTGACATTTTCTATTCTAGGTTGCATCGCATGGACTCAGCATGGAGCTTGCTCCGCATCCTAGACTATTCAGGTTTTTTTTTTCTTTGGTAGAGTTCCGCTTCTTGGCGGAAGCGTGCTTGTATCTAGGCGATCCATCACAGGCCGAGGATCGTGTAGCGGACCTCTGGTTGGCCTGTGAGACCAGCCCCTGGGCCTGTTCTCACAGGCCTGTGTTGTATTCGGGGCAGTCCAGTCCAGGCTGGTACCTCTGTCGGTACCAGCCAGTCCAGTCCAGTCTCGTCAGTCCGCTGGGGTATGCCCCAGTTGTTGTCTGTTTTCCGATTCATTCTACATTCACACTATTTGGAGTACGTGCTTTGGAGTCTGGCGTGGGAGCTGCGCTGTGCCATCTCGCTCCCCCTTTCTTCCTTCATCTCCATCTCTATCCCAGGCGGAGCACCACACGTGGTGGGTCCGCCACAGCACCACATCAGCATGCAATGTAGACCAAAGGCAACGCCACATAGACCATAGGGAGCGCCACATCAGCATGCTATGTAGACCATAGGCAGCGCCACATCAGCATGCAATGTAGACCCAAGGCAGCGCCACATCAGCATTCCTGGTTTACAATGAAGAACACGCCAACATGTCGTCAAAGTCCCCGTTGTCGTCCACAGTATCTGCGCACAGCCAACGTCCAGCCGGCGTCTCGCCAACGTCGTGCCAACATCAATGCTAGCGTTTGGTCGAAGTCAAGCCAGCGTCCACGCAACATAGCAAGATTGAATGTTAACCACCTCGAAGCCAGCCTTTAAGTAGCATTTGATGAGGTTGTCTGGCCTCGGTTCCCTCCCCCACAGTCGTTCAAATTGACTCCTAGTCGGGGGTTTGGGTTGTGTACAGTTGCAGACTTTCCTTTTGACCTTATGTTGTTTGGGTACCTGCATACAAACAAATGTGTGTGCTTGACCGGCGGCCTGGGTTGGGTACCTTTGACTTTGACTGTTGGGTAGACCGACAGTTGACTTGGTCAACTGTATCTCGTCCAGGCCCTGAATCTTTTTAAGGGGTGTTTTGCCCCCTTTCGGCCTGGGTCTGAGTGCGGCCTATAGCCCTCAGACTTTCCACGCGGCATACAACATGGGTTCAATGCAATATGTTTAAAATAGGATCATTTGAGGGTGATTCCACTCACTGTCGAAGACCCCTCAAGTGAGCGTATTTGAGATGGCCATAATTTATCCGGGCATGTCTCATTCGCACAACAATGAGTTGTAAAACAGCACATCGTCGACACATCAGTAAAAAATTGAGACATGCTCAAGACCGAAAACCAGATACATGAATTTCACGTGAAATATATTACCCTCTGTGCATGATGTGGTCGTCGTGTCCAACTCGATAACCGGTTGTGCAAGGTGCCCAAAACGTCCAGTGCACTCAGGTGGTTGTTGTGTCTAACCCGATAACCATTCGGGCGAGCTGCCCTATACATCTCGTGCATGAGGTTGTCGTCGTATCCAACCCGATAACCTTCCGGAGGTCATCATGTCCAACCCGATAACCGGTCGTGCAAGGTGCCCAAAACGCCCAGTGCACGAGGTTGTTGTCATGTCCAACCCGATAACCATTCGGGCGAGTTGCCCTTGTCGTCGTATCCAACCCGATAATCTTCCGGCGGTCATCGTGTCCAACTCGATGACTCAACCTCAAGACAACCTGCCAAACAGTCACATTGTCGGGCACTTCCTTGGCTTCATATGACCCCACTACCCCCTGTGCATGATGTGGTCGTCATGTCCACCCCGATGACCGGGCGTGCAAGGTGCCTAAAACATGTAGTGCATGAGGTGGTCGTCATGTCCAACCCGATAACCAGTCGGGCAAAATGCCCAATAAATCCCGTGCATTAGGCCGTTGTGGTCTCCTTCTCGATAACATGCCGACAGTCATCCTATCCAACACGATGACCCAACCTCAAGGTAATATGGCCAACAGTCACGTTGTCGGGCATAACCTCTCTGCGTAACCCGAAGGTGACCAGCGGTCGCAGTTCCTTCGGTGATGCCTGCCACAGATCGTGGTGCCGACCGTGATGCCTGATCTTTGTTCAACATTACAACGGTGATTGTGTCCATGATGTGGTTGTTGTGTCCAACCCGATAACCAGTCGGGAAAGCCCCCAATGCATCCTGTCTATGAGGCTGTCGTTGTGTGCGAAACGATATATTGTCCGGCGGACGTTCTGTCCAACAAGATGACTCAACCTCGATGCATGATTTGTGTCGTCGTGCCCGACGCAACAACCTACCAGCGATTGTCGTGTCCTGCTGTCCGTGATGCCTGAACTCTGGTAAACAACTTTAATCGTCACCAACTCGTCGACATTCGCGTGAATGACCTATGTTTTCATAAATTGCATAACCTCTCTGCGTAACCCAAAGGTGGCCAGCGGTCGCTGTCCCTTTTGTGATCCCTGCCATAGGTCGTGGTACCAACCGTGATGCCTGACCTCTGTTCAACCTTGCAACAGTGATTGCGTCGGGGATGTCGTCGTCGTGTCCATAGGCTGGAACCAGGAAAGGTGCCCAATGCATCCCGTCTAAGAGGTTGTCGTGGTGTGCGAAACGATAGACTGCTCAGCGGGCGTCGTGTCCAACACGATGATTCAACTTCGATGCATGATTTGTGCCGTCGTGCCTAACACAACAACCTGCCAGCAGTTATCGTGTCTTGCCATTCGTGGTGCCTGAACTCTGGTAAACAACTGTGATCGTGACCGACTCGTTGAGGTTCGCGTGAATGACCTATGTTATCAGAAATCTATTGCAATCGTAGTCGAACTTTCAAGGCACTTCTTACGGCAAGCATTATTCGATAGGCGCTCTCTGCAGCAATTGTCGCCTTGGAAAGCATCTGTCCGGGAAAGGTACCATCCATCCTCTACAATAGTGCTTTTGGTCATCCGACGAGAGTACGATGGATTGGTTGGCACATACGGAAGGTCATCGATAGCAAACTGTGTCGGACTCACTGTTGCGCTGCACCGATGGATGTCGTCGTGGGCGTTCCTCGTCAAGTGTTGTATCCAATACAACAACTTGCCCATAAATGATAAGGTCTCAACACTCAATTGCTCACCGACTGATGAAGGCACTCCGAACGGCGTCCAGAGGTTGTGAAACTGCTCCATACAACCGAATATGGTTAACGCTCTCTGCAGCGGACACAGTCCGACGACAGGGTATCGTCTGTTGTCTAAAGTCTTGTTCTGGTTGTTTGGCATATATACAACGTCATCGAGTGACGAATAGCGTGGGATGGACAGGTTCATTGCCACTTACCGTGTCCAACACGATAACTTTCTCGCCAATAGCCCGCAGTGGACACTCCATTGCAAATCAGACACTGCCATAGACTGTTATGAAGGCAACACAACAAGAATTGGTGTTGAACAATGGATGCATGCGTCCTTCACCAACAGTTGCCGCCTTTACAACTGTCTTTGGTCTGGTCTCTACAATGGTGCTTTCGGTAATCCAAGTCGAGGACGACTGACATTTTGGCACATACGGAAGGCCGTCGGTAACAAATTGTAAGGGATGTCCACTACTCACGATTAAAACGATACGAGAGGATAGCGTTGTGCCTCAGGAAATGTGTGTCGTGTAGACCACATGCAGCAGAGATGTCTCCTGTGTTGTTTTTGTTATGGATGGCGGATGATCGACTGTATGGCATATATGCATGGTGGTCAGTCCCGAAGACTGAAGACTGCCTCACCCTATCCGGTGCCTAACCGAAGGACACGGCAAATGGTGGACGAACAATGACATTGTGTCTAATGCAATATCTGGAAACAACTGCCTTCCATGTTCTTGGGAACGACTGCCTTCAAGGAAACCTTCCGTCCGGGGAAGCTGTCGTGTGTCCTCTACAATAGTGCTTTTGGTGGTCCGAACTTCGAATTGCCGACTGTTTGACACATACAACGACGAATCATCACAACAACATGCCAATGTTGTGAGGAGTCTCAAGAATTGGATGATGAGGCATTCGAAAGTCGTCGTGTTCGACACGATAAAGGTTGCGGATGCCCGACATGGATTTGAAATCCAACGTCTTCGGCATAATGACGGTTGCAGATGACCGTCATCGAAAGCGGTTCCGATTAGTCATTATGTAGAATACAAAACCGGGCTCGTGAATCAATCAAAGTTAGAAATGGGTTGCTTAAGAAAAACGGCCCAGAGCCTATTGTTCTGAAAAGGGTGCAGGGTACGCCCACATTTCTAAAAAAGACAAAACGTCACTTGAGCGATGACAACATACAGATTGTATTTTGTGGAGGTGGAGGTAAAAAATATCGCACTTGGAGAATGGACTGCACATTCCAAAATAGCCAGAGAAAAAGTTATGGCATGCCTTGCTCTTCCAGATGATGAAGAACGTTAGTGTTTCTGATGATGAAGAACTTTAGCCTTAATTTTGTCTCATTGAAATATTGTTTGAACCGTATTTTGTTGTTTCGCAGAATGGTCTAACCATTTGCGACTACTGGATGGCCGCCCAATGACATCGTATGGGGAAAAACCTTGTGGCGTGATATGAGAGCAATATTTTTCACTTCTGAAGTCATTTACGAAGATCCAATAGTTTGTGTCCGAGGTATGGACGTCACGTCACACCATTGGGAACATTGTCCTCGACAGTCTCTCTACATTTGTGGTCGTTGGTGCTGTGGGTCGGGAATGTATCCACGAGAGGTGCTCGCGCCATTCTCACAGTTTTATTACTCTACAGTGAAATTCTACTACAATAATTTGAAGGTCATGACATTGTTTTCTGCGGAGGCATGCATCCAAGGACGTTGCAAGGTGTCATTTCTTATTCATAATGACTATTCTACAAGTGCTAGTAGCAGGGTTGTCAGGCGGGGGCCCCTGGGGGCAAAGCCGGGGTAGCGGTTTGACCCCCGGACCCCCACCGTGGGGGTGCCCCACCCCCGCCCCGCCCAAAACACCCCCGTCGGTGCCCCGACCCTCGCAGCCCCACCGGGGCCCGCACCCCCACCCCTGCCTCCCCGGGGCCTGTCTCTTATACACATCTAGATGTGTATAAGAGACAGATACGAGCGCCCTCCACCCATCACGGTGGACGGCCACGAGGAGTTTGTCGTTTCAGACATCATTGGTTGCCGAGTCACCGATAACAACCCTCCTCATGTCAAGTATCTCGTACGTTGGAAGGGTTACCTTGATGAGGAGGCTACCTGGGAGCCCCTCGAGCACTTGCAACACGCTCGCATGTTGGTGTGTGCCTATGACCGTGCTCGTCGTGTTAGGTCGACTGCTCTCCCTTAGCCCACTGACCCTCCTCCTTCTCCCTCGGCTGAGGAGACCGCTGAAGTCGAGCCTGCCCCATGTGAGGCAGACCTTCAGCAGCAGCCAGATGCTTCTGAGCGTCCACAGCGCACTCATCGTCGTCCTGCTCGATACGACTTCTCAATACTCCATCCACTCCAATTTTGTCACTTCAACTCGTTGACGTTACGGCTCTTCCTCGACGACATTCCGAACTTCTCATCATGGACGTCATCGGCAACTTCATGGACTTCGTCACGATCAGCTCTGCCTACTTCAGACGTCGTCGCTCTCTTACCACCTTACCCTGTACAGGACCTTGATTGTGTCGCATGATGGTCTCCCCTCGCCGGGTTCCTGTGAGTTGGGCTCTCCCTTGGTATACGTATAGGCATCGGGACTGTAGCGTTGCCTTGGCTTCCCAACTTACGGATCCAGCTTCGACTTCCCCACCCTTGGAGTCATTTGCATGATTCCTTTACCCATCATTTTTTCTACCCTTCGTCGGCCCTCACGTCCTAGTTAGGCAGCCTCGCATGCTTCATCTAGGTGCGCCCAGTATACC